TCACCGAGGCAGGCACACTGTCATCAAGCAGAAACGGGGTAGAAATGCCCAGGACTGGACAGGCTCTCAAGGCACAAGTAAATCATAGAAGCGTTGACCTATACTCCCAGCATGCCCTCTGCTGCCACCCTGCTAGGGAATCCCCTGGTAAGCAATTGAAGGAAAATGTCAAAGTCCATTAGAGATGACTGTGCTTAGGGGCTAGGATGATTAGAAGTAAACCATGGTGGCGTTATAGCCTACTCAGTCTGCCCCTAAGCAGCTCTGAAGAAGGTGAAAACCTTTCAGGGCAGAACTTCTAGCATCTCCTCTTGTTATCTGCTCCTGGAAAGAGAGAGCCAAGAACAGTCAAGGTACTCTTTTTTTTCTTTTTTTTTTGAGAGGTTTTTTTCTATAGGGCGCGTGCGCTTGCCAAACCGACAGAGAGACAGAAAGCCAGAAATCACCCCCCAGGGGAGATGGCCACACCACAATCCCTTCTCCTCCATTCTCCTCTCAGGATCTTGGGCACGCACGCACACGTGCCTGGCGTGAGTTTAAGACACCGGGTCTGGAACTTGAACCGCGGTTGACTACGTGGGAATCCAGCGACATAGCCATTACGCTAACTGCTGGTCCCAACAGTCAAGGTACTCTTAATGAAAAAAAGATAGGAAAACTTTGCTCTTAAATACTGATTTATTTGGTTGTCAGAAAAGCCATGACATATTTTTCTATTATTCTATGCAAAAATGCATCATGACTTTCCCAATGACCCAGTATCATAACATGAAAGAAATTAAGACAGCGTGGTATTGGTGCAGGTACAGAAAAACATACCAGTTGAAAGAGTGAATCCAAGTAAATTTACCAAGCAGATACTTCTGTGTGACGGAGGTGGCAGTGGATAGTGAAGGGAGTTTTCAACAAATGGTGCTGGGAAAATTGGTGTCTGTGTGGAAATAAAAAATACATTAGATTCTCATCTCACATCATGCACAGAAGTTACTTCCAGTTGTGTTAAGTTCCTCAGTGGTGAAAGACATTACTATAATGAGTGTAGAATATCATATATGAGGGGATCAGCAGGTGGCATGGTGGTTAAGGTGCTAGACATCCCCACATGGCTGACCATGGTTCAAGTCTTGGACCTGGTGGCTTGCTTTCTCACTTTCTCTCTCTCTCTGGTCAAATTAAAATAAATAAAGAAAAAAAATAAAATTAAAAATAAACAATTCTTAAAAAGAATATCATATATGAAACTATTACCTTAGATAGACACATAAAACAACTGACCACAGAAAAGTTTGATAAGTTTAGTTATATTTAAGTAACTCAAGTTTATTACATAATTCAACAAAAGACATAGACAGTCATCTAATGGTACAGTCCTAATGCACTGTTCAGACAATGCAGGCTCTATATGGAAATTGGGGGTTCAGTTCTTCTGTTGATCCTGAGTGCATAGGCACCCAGAAATCTGGCTGGTTAGGAAAGCTGGGAATGGGGGAGATCATGACATAAGATGGCCTTGTTAAAGATGCTTCCCTCTCGCTCTCCTATTTCTCACCCTCATGAAAGAAATTACTGCCAGAGTCCCAGAGCTTCCCTCTTAACCCCACACAATCCATTCTTCACAGCCTCCATGTGATCACTGTAGAATATGACAGATCGGGCCACTCTTCTGCACTAATCCTTCCGAACAGGCGATGCTCCAGAGGCCCATTCCCCCCACGCACCAAGCACAGGCAAGGTGAGTTCACCCTCTTGAGGACTATTCCACATTCATGTCCCATGAGGTCCAAAATTGTTACCAGGTTTCAAAAGTTTCTTATACAAAGTCCTGCTGATTTTAATGGCATATTTTGGTCATTTGTATAAGTAGACATTCAAATGCTCTCTCTCCAAATCTTTAAATTCAAGCTATGTTTAGATCCGACACATTTCTCCCCCAAAACTGGCAATTGACAATGCTTCCTGACCTCCAGGTTTTACCGACCATTGTCCCCCCACACACACCCCACCACCACCGCCACCTTCACAACCACAACCAGGTAGTTAGCACCATACACAGTCGCTTCATTTCACCACCTGCTGGACAAGCCCTGCTACTACAATACCATGGATATTCGAATCTTGCATTCCTCAGGTCGGCAGGCTATGTGTCTGCATTCTGTGCAGATTTCTATCAGTAAAACATCTAACTTTTTTATAATCAAATGGAATGCCATTATTGTACAACTTGGATTCTGGCTGCCACGTTCCACAGATAATATGGCTTTGAATTCATTAGCACCAAACTCCTAAATCTGTTCTAGACACAGGTGAAATTGGGAAACACATATGAAAACATTTCCACACAAATGTAGCTACTAATTACTGTAACAACAAAATGTAGGAGGCATGTGTGTCAGGGACCGCAGCTGATTCTAACTCGAGCTCATTAAGCAGCCAGTGAGTACATCCTCCATTAGCTGGCTGCTGAAGTTGGGTAGGCCCAACGCCCGCTCCCATCTCTTGGCCACCAGTGCCTCCAGTGCCTTCCAGGCCTCCTTGGAGTGGGTGGAGTCATAGCATATGTCTCATCGGCATTCTTTGGGAAGGGGTTGTCTCTCTGCTCAAAGTCCTAAGGCCATTGCATCAGGTACAGGTCCAGATACTTGAGCCGGAGGTCAGCCAGTGTCTTCCAGAGGGCTGGCTCTGCATCCTCGGGTGGTGCTTGGTGTTCCAGTTTGAATGTCACAAATAGCTCCTCCCTAGACACCCCCTTGCCAGGTCCCATGTTCTTTCAGGGCCTTCTCAGTCTTATTGCTGTAAATGGTGGCACAGTCAATATGGCAGGAGCCTATGCTAAGGGTATACTTAACAGCTGGTTTTCCTGGCCAGGCTCACTTTTCCCAGGTATCCAGATGAATCAAAGGCATCTTTTGCCCCATGTGCAGTACACAGGAAGCTTCCACTGCACCCTTGACAGGAGTACAACGCATGAACAGGATAATGTGGCGAGGTCGCTGTTCTGCACCCTCTATTGGTTGTGATTTTCAGGCCACCAGGTTTGGGACTTGAACTGCATTTAGCCATGTGGGAATCCAGGACTTTAACCACTACACCACTTACTGGCCCCATGACTCCATATTTTCAGTGTGAAATTCAACTTTTTGTATTATAAAGAGCCCTGCTTTGTACCTTGGATCTCAATTCTAGTCTAGCTGATCAATTGACTTCTGATTCCCTACATAGTCTTCCCTTCTATCTTCAGCCTTTCTGAATCACTTTACTTTAGATACAATTCTTTTTCTGTAATCCTGTTAGTTAAAATATACCTAAAGACTCGCCCTTTCTTTGCTTTGCAGATGTACATGAGGGACAACAAATTCATTAAACATCGACAAAGTTACAAAATGTCTGAGGCCAGAACTGACTGAGACTCATTGGTCTAGTTTCTGCCTGCACCATGGTTGGTGGTGGCCTGGGAGGCAGATGCGTCACAGTTGTAGGACTGTGAGCTCTCAGACCTGGGTGCTTCTTGCAGGTGAACCAAGGGAGTCACTCAGGTTTCTCAGCATCATCTAGTGCTGGCATGACTTACTGTGGATGCTAGAGCCATAGCACTGTAGGGAGGGGTCCTGAGGGTGACACCGGAAGCCAGTGATGCCCATGTATCTAGGCCATTGCCCATGTATCTAGACCAGCCTTGGCGGGGGTGGGTTGGTTCGACAGAGGCGACGCTGGAAGAAAAGAAGACTAAGGCCTCGTGCCTTTTCATGCACGTCCTCAGCCGGACACTCCCAGAGATCGCTCTCTGAGGAGTGACAACTGCTAGGAAATATCGTGCCTTTTTATTGAAAATGGGATACATGTAAGTAAATGGGAGAGGGGCTACGTGACCTAATGATCAATTCATAAAGTTTTAACAATTGAGATCAAAGATTCTATTCAGGGTTTGATTAAGGGCAGGTTGATACAATTCAACAATAGATTGATGTAAGCAAGCTTTTTGAAACTTCTGTTCTGGGAGTGTGGTTTCGGAGAACAGCTCCAGCAGGCAGAGTTAATTATCAGCCAGTACTTGGCGGCAGCCGTCTTGCGGTTACTGGTTGCGTTGCTAGAAAAGAAAATCTCAAGTACAGATATTAGTTTTTATAAATCTCAATAAAGAATGATATTTATATAATTTTATAGAGATGTAAAATTAATTAAAGGAATCCTAATATATTTACCTATCCTGAAAGGGTGATTTTGTCAGAACATTAGCTACAGTGAGGCAGGAGTGTCTTGGGTCAGTTTCTGCTTAAGAGGGAATTTTTAAGTTTATATAAATGTGTTTTGAAAGGCCTTCCAACAATCAAGAAAAACTTTACCACACCCTTTATTGTGCCCAATGAAGCGTTGTAATCAACAGTAAATGGTCAGGGTAAAGGGGAGCGGTCGGGGGATTTTGGAGAAATCTTGCTACAAATATGTATGGGAAAACTATGTAATTCTTTTATAGTAATATATCAGGGAGTCAGAGGGGGGTCACTTCCCAGCAAGGCTATCACAGTCCCAGAGCGAATAGCAGGCGGCCTTGCCGACATGCTAAGTGACCCAAGCTTGTTCCATGGTCGGGGGGCGTACAGTCGCGGCCTTGCCAGCTCACTGAACCGACCGGAAGCAATGCTCAAAGGTCAAGGGGCTCAGACGGGTCCTGGAGCCCCGCCGGGTCGGACTCCTCCAGGCCATGAACTGGACCCCAGACACCTCCACGTACAGCAGTGAGCTGAAAGTCCCTTTACTTGGGTCCTGTGGCAACCTAGTGGAGGTGGAGGGAGGCCGTATTGGTGGTCTCTGGGAGACCTGGTTATTAGGGTAGAAAACGCTTCAGAAATGTCCATTGGCTAGGATCTTCCATAGTATTGGTGTTGGGGCCACAGCCAGTCACTTTTGGTAGCAGATTCCATAGGCTCGGCAGTTTCAAGCCATTCACCGGTGGCAGATAGCTCAGAGTTCAGGGTGCAGCTCCACCGGGCTTTAGCTTCAGATCAGTCAGGGATGCAGAAGATCCTAGCAAGTGCGGGTGAAGTCAGGATGCTACAGGCGTAGGAATGGTCCAGTGCGACAACTTCCGCCTGGTTCTCCGGGGCTGCACAGGCCCCAGCAGCATCCCAGGGGAATGTGCTCTGGGGCACCACGCTGTTGGGATCAGTGTGCAAGACCACCTCAGAGAAACACTGTACGAAGCTGTCCAAGGACCCCAGGCATGAGCCAGGGTGCATTGGAGCATTGGGGTCCAGCGGGGGGCCCAAGGGCTGCAGATCAGGGGCACAGCAGCATCCATTGGCAGGATGCTGGAGCCCAGGGCTGGCTGGTGCAGGCTTGTCCATTAGAGTTCCATCCACAGGCAGGGACTGTGCTCTGGGCCCACAAGCTGTGTGCACCGTGTCCCCTACCCGGAGCCTCTTGGCCAGAGCCTGGTGAGTCATCTCCTGAGACCTCACCACCAGAGGACGGCGACCACCAGGACTGCGGCTGCCATTTGAGGAATGGAGATCTGGGATGCTCACTTCTGCCATCAGTGATGTGGCCTGGGGTGGCTTCAGGAAGCTGACTGTGGCAGTGACCTTATCTTGGGTAGTAGCGCCTCTGGCGTCCAAAGAAGGTGTAGATTGCATGAATGCTTGGCTGCCAGTCCCATCACTAGAAGTCACAGCGTGACGGGGGCGTCCCACCCTGCGCTTGTGGAGAGGTCTCCCGCGCTCCGTGGCTTTCCTGGGCCCCCGGTCCTTCCTCGAAGCTCGCAGCTCCTGACCAGCCGGTGCCCTGGGCGCCCTGTGCTCCCTGTGCTCCCTGTGCTCCACCACCGTCGGGTCTTGCCCACGTTTCCACAGCTCGTAGCGCTCAGGCTGAAGGATGCGCACGAAGGGGTCCATGGAAAAGCTGACCCGGGCCTCCCCGCAGCTGCACTGAGAGGCCACTTTGCCATAGTCGATCCACCGCGGCGAGGCGAAGTTGATGGCCTCCGCGCAGTTGAAGCCGTGGTTGAAGCCGGCGTGGTAGCCATAGGGGAAGGTCACCATGAACTCGCCGGCCTCCTGCGTCATGCGACCAAAGGGAATCCCGTTCTCCCTGAGGACCGTGGGCGAGATGAGGGCCACCTTGTGCCGCAAGAAGGCCTCGCAGCCCCGGGCACTGCCCGGGAACAGCTCCCTGGCCAGGCGTTCCAGGCGCTGGCCGTGTTCGGGGGGCACTGCGTACCATGTCTTGGGCTCCCCGAAATGCAGGTAGTTGATGCTGTACAGGTCCATGTCCTCCGTGTGCCACGCGAACGTGGTCTTCCACATGCCGAAGTACAGGTAGGGGGTGTTCACGCCCTCGATGACCACGCCGCACTCCTGTTCCAGCAGATCCTGGATGGTGCCCAGGTGGCCCAGGTTCCACTGCTTCGTGCTTTGGTCGAATAAGGAACCGCTGACGTCAGCGCCATAAATCGGCGAGTTGTAGAGACGGCTCTTCCAGTACTTGCGCTCCAGGTCGTCGAAGTTCAGGTGCTCGGGGGTCCGGTATTTCTCGCTGTTGGCCAGGTGGTGGTACTGCCTCACGGTCATGGCTTTCTTCTTTTTATGGTATTGAGTAAACACTCCTGCCTGCCCAGAGGCCACCTGCTGGAGGGGAGTGGCTATCAAGATGTCCCCAATGTCATCATAGGTCTGTCTGGCCTTCCACTCCTTGGGTGGAACTACCTTGGCCAGGCCAGCCCGGTGTGCCCCCTGGGATTCCATGTGAGCGATGTATCTGTTGAAATCTGTAAACTCCTCCATGGTTGGGTGGAAGGTCATGACTGCACAGCGTGGGTTCTGGGCTCTGGAGTGCTCAGCGGACTTCATGGCTGCCCTAACAAGCCGTGGACTCCCAAGTTCTTAGGTGAGTTCTAAATACCTGAGAATTCTGGGGAGTAATCCCTATTCTCCTTTATATTTTAAAAAATGCTTTGGTTTGTCTATGAGGAAGTAACTTAGACGTGAACTTTTAAATCACCAAGATTTCTCTTTCTCAGGCTTGCTGATTCACCAGGGGCGTGCGGCTCTCATCAGCGTTATTGGCCAAGGGAAAGAAACAAAAGAGGAGGCACGGAAAGAGTTATTGCCCAGTGGGGAAAGAACCCAGTGTCAGGGCTCAGCCCGCCGGTATCTCAGTTGAGCCCTCACTGCCTCCAGGCCTCTCTTGAATGTCAGGTTGGGAGCACAAGCAGCTTCTAACCCCACCGGAGCAGAAAGTCTCTTCAGTGACGTTTGAACAGTAAGCCTAAAGAACAAAACAGAATTCTGAGAATGAGTGGACTGCCAAAGGCAGGGCAGGGGTAGGGGGTGAGAAGGCACTGAGGTAGCAAAATTGGTTTGTCAATGTTAACATCAAAATCGCAAGTCAATTCTTTTTTTTTTTTTTTTAAACAATTGATTTTATTTATTCATTCTTTTTTTTTTTTTTTTAACTGACCAGAGGGAGACACAGAGAGAAAGAGAGGGAAAGTGAGGAAGCAAGCTACCAGTTCCAGGGCTCGAACTGTGGTCGGCCATGTGGGAGTGTCCAGCACCTTAACTACCACGCCACCCACTGGCCCCACAAGTCAATTCTTAATAAAGAAAAAAAGAAATATTTTATTGAATTATAAGAAAACATTTTAAAATAAAATTCAATGTTCAACTCAGAAACTGGAAATACTAATAAAAGTACAACTAGAAACTATTCCACATGAAAACTAGCAGCCATTAGGATGAAGACTAAAACCCAACTTGGATCCTTTAAAAAAAAAAAAACACTAGAAAAAACATCTATATACATGAAGAGAAAAGAACATACAAGTAAACCATTATATGATCAAATATGGAACATAGTTAAAAATTTAGAGATTTTTTAAAAATTTCCAGTTTGGGCCAGCAGGTGGTGGTGTGGTGACATTGCTAGAGCCCATATAACTGACTGCCTGGTTCTAGTCCCACCCTGCAGCTTGACAAACCCACAGAACGCATGTATTTGTGAGCCCAAAATCCCAAGAGAAGAGAGGGGATTACAGCATGGCCATTCCCCCGAGTAGTGATTTCTCGCTTTCCTTCCATTTTTCTCTCTTGCTCTCTGATGAGCACACATGTCCTATAGCAAGTAATTAAATTATAAAGGAATCTTATGAACTGCTTATTCCTAATATTTTTTTTTTTTGGAGAGATTTTCACTGTAGGGCGCGTGCGCTCACCAGACAGACAGAGAGAGACATAGAGACAGAAAGCGAGAAATCACCCCCCGGGGGGGGGGTGGTCACGCCGCAATCCCTTCTCCATTCTCCTCTCGGGATCTTGGGCACGCATGCACACGCGCCCGGCGTTGAGTTTTAAGCCACCGGGTCCGGGACACGAACCGCGGTCAACTACGTGGGAGTCCAGCGACATAGCCATTACGCTAACTGCTGGTTCCATTCCTAATAATTTTTAAAACTTAAGTAAAATGATAATTTTCTCAAAGGTACAATAATCCTGAGCTGGTGCTAGAAAAATTAAGATATTTATGTATACTAATAGACATAATAGAACTATAGCAATAATTTACACATGTTAGGAGGTAATAGTGACTTTGTTTTATGAGGCTATAAACCTAAGTTTCATGCCAAAGATAGGAAAGGGTCAAACTAGAAAAGCAATCACATAAATCCAAGTTTACCAAGTGGTAAATTTACAAAAATCTTAAATAAAGTCGCAGTCATGGTGAACAGCAGTAGCACAATGGTCTGTGATTCTGACAATATGGAAGATGAGGGTTTGGTTCCTAGGTTGACTTATACAAGCCGGTTCTAGAAACCAATTACCTATCAGTTATAAAATAAAATCACAGGCAGAGTTCCACTCTTGTGATGATAGAAATACAAGGTTCCAGTGGAGAAACCTAAAAATGACATGCACTTAATATTTGCTCACTGGATACAAAAATGTGGTTCGAGCCCTGGACCTGGCGGCTTGCTTTCTCACTTTACCTCTTTCTCTCACTCTCTCTCTCTGTCCCTCTCTAGTCAAGGTAAATTTACAAAAATCTTAAATAAAGTCGCAGTCATGGTGAACAGCAGTAGCACAATGGTCTGTGATTCTGACAATATGGAAGATGAGGGTTTGGTTCCTAGGTTGACTTATACAAGCCGGTTCTAGAAACCAATTACCTATCAGTTATAAAATAAAATCACAGGCAGAGTTCCACTCTTGTGATGATAGAAATACAAGGTTCCAGTGGAGAAACCTAAAAATGACATGCACTTAATATTTGCTCACTGGATACAAAAATGTGGTTCGAGCCCTGGACCTGGCGGCTTGCTTTCTCACTTTACCTCTTTCTCTCACTCTCTCTCTCTGTCCCTCTCTAGTCAAAATTAAATAAATAAATAAATAAATAGTTAAATAAAAAAAATAATTCTTTAGAAAAGTTTAAATGCAGTTGTTTAATTTGTTTTATTCTTTTTTTAATGTTTCAAAATTATTTTTCAATTGTTTACTTTCTGCTAGCCTAAAATCTGGATTGCAAGTGATATCTTAGGACCCAGAAAGATGGCATCCTTTGAGAATTCAGCCTCTAAGTGAAAAACGTCACGCCCAAGGCACTGCATATGCCACACCTACATTCTAATAGTCAGCACCATGACAGTCCCAGTATCCCAATACAACTGCAATCGCTAACGTAATCATATAGCCTTTCTACCTCCCATTCTGTTCACCATTCTTCTTTTTTTCCCAGTTTTAGAAACTCTCTCATTTTCATATATACCAGCCCATCAAATATGGTGCATTTTCTGGAAAATCTGAAAATTTTTACCAAGAAATTAAGATAAAAAACCTGAATCTCAAAGAATTTGTTTTAACTCAATGAAATGACATTCCAATGAGCATTTTTGCATCATGAATAAATATAAAACTACAATAATCTCTTTAAACTTATAATAAAAAAGAACTCTCTTGCTTAAAAGCAAAACCAGCAGGAAAACAAAGCGACTTACCTTCCACCAACAAAATCCTGACTCCAAATATGTGTACGCAAAGACACACAGAGAAGGTTTCTTCTCAGTAGCTAGAGAGAAGGTTTCCTCTCAGGAGCTGGAGAGAAGGTTTCCTCTCAGGAGCTGGAGAGAAGGTTTCCTCTCAGGAGCTGGACTCCAAATGAAGCCCCAGGACCGGAAGAGCTTGACTTTATAGCCGGGCAATATCTAATCAGCACCCAGCTAACGCAATCAGGGGCTAAGTTCTTACCTCACATCCCACTATGCCCATGCCCCTTTTCTTAAACCCAATCTTAAAACAAAGCTAAGGTCAAAAATCGATAGGTGAGAAAAGACAAAATAGGGCAAATTTTATACAAAAGAAATGTGAGAAGCAGCGTCAAAATCAAATGTATTTCTAAGACCAAAGAGGGAAATATGATAGTTACTAAAAATAAAAACTCACTAGACATATACTAAAATGATGAGTTTAGGTACCTAATCAGCTAGAACGGAGACAGAGAAAACCAAGACTGAGGGTTAAAGTAGAACTGACAAATCTACAATCATGAGGGAGATGGGAGTTTATTTATAAATAGCATTCTAATACCTAAAGATAGAACAAAGAAGAAAACTAATAATGCTGTAAAGTTTGAACAACAGGCCCCAGCAGGTGGCATAGTGGTTATGGTGCTGGATACCTATGTAGTCGACCACGGTTCAAGTCCCAGATCCTGCAGCTTAAAACACGCCAGGCACTTGTGCATGCATGCCCCAAATCCTGAAAGGTGAATGAAGGAGAAAGGATTGTGGGGTGACCATCCTCTTGGGGTGGGGGAAGGTGATTTTCATTTTCTGTCTCTCTGTCTCTGGCAAGCACACAATGCCCTGCAGCAAAAATCTCTCTTAAAAAAAAAAGTTTGAACAACAAGTACAACAATTTTTATCCTATAGCCTGCAAACCAAAGTAGTAATTGGAAAATCCTTTTTTTTTTTTTTTTTTTTGAGTTTTTTTTTTGCTATAGGGCAAATACGCTTGCCAGAGAAAGACAGAGAGACAGAGAGACAGAAAGTGAGACGTCACCCCCCAGGGGGGATGGCCACGCCACAACCCCTTCTCCTCCATTCTCCTCTCGGGATCTTGGGCACGCATGCACATGCGCCCAGCGTGAGTTTAAGCCACTGGGTCTGGGACTCGAACCACAGTCGACTACATGGGAGTCCAGTGACATAGCCATTACGCCAACTGCTGGGCCCAGAAAATGCTTTTCAATAGACAGAAAACATTACAACAATTTAAAGACTACAAAATAAGTATTAAGAAAATTCCATAGAATCAATATACAGAGCACGTCTTGACCTCAGTGAAATAAAAGTGGAAGTCAACAGTAAAAAAATGGAAAGGAACCATATTTGAGAATCAATATTCACATTTCTAAAAAAATTGTGCATTTTTATGCTCAACTCAAGTGGTTATAAGAACAAACCAAAATCAAACGAAGTAAAATTATGCAAAAGAAAATAAAGACGGGGCCAGTAGATAGCATGGTGGTTAAGCGCACTAGACTCCCACATGGCTGACTACGGTTCGAGTCCTGCTTGCTTTCTCACTTTCCCTCTCTCTCTTACCCTCTCTCACTCTGTCCCTCTCTGATGAGATTAAATAAATAAATAAATTTCAATGAAATAATTCTTAAAAAAAAAAAGAAAAGAAAAGAAAGATGAAGATAACAGCAGGAGAGGGGAGAAGGTGGGGATGCATGAGAGGGACTCAAGGAATAAAGTTTTTACCAGACCCAGGAATGCATGTAGTTGGAGCAAATGGGTTTGTAATGGCACACCATAATGAAAAAGGGACATTGCCAATCATACATGTAT